GCGGAAGTTAGAGCTCCACAGATGCAGTGCTAATCTCATGATTGGCATATGATCTCTCAGGAACTTTACACCAGGGGAGGATAAGATGAAGGAATTTTTCTGCAGTTTCAGCTTTTTTTAAAGTAGTCTCTAGCTGTTATGGTTGAGAGGAAAGTACTTAAACATGCGCTAAAATGCAACTGATGTAATGTCTTCCTGAGCTTTCAGAGAGCTTGAAATAAAAGCTTTGAGGCCTGAATAGAACCATTAATTTCAGGGGGTCCTAATTCAGATGTCAGTGATAGTTTTTTCCCCTATGTTAACTGTTTTACTACTTTTTAAAACGTGGGAAAGGAGGGGAGGTAGGTGGTATTATTAAGATCTACAAAATAAAAATATAAGGACTTATATCAAATTGTATTTTAAATCCATTTAATTAAAATTCTAAAATGTTAATAGACTTTTAACAATGCCAGGATGGCTTGGAAGGAGGTGCAGTTAGTTACATTTCCTTGAAAGGAAGCTTTCAAATGTTTGGAAAACATTGTTTTAAGCCTCATTCCTATAATGTCACTAGAAATACTCCATGGAATTACAACCTTGTTAGAGCCAGCTGAGTATTATGATTTCTTTTCTGAAAATTAATGAGGCAGGGAAAACTGTCTTATGGTGAAAATTTAAGTTTAAACTTACTCTTGGTGGTTTTCTTCTAAACATTCTCAAGTCCCCATGTACCTTTGGCTTTTTTTAAAGGTAACTGTTCTAATTCTCCTCACATCAGTTTTACACTGATTTAACTCTATTTCAGTGGAATTACTACTGATTCACACTCGTTTAAGTGGGAGTAGAACAAGACCCAACATTCTCATGCAGTGAAAGCAGTACCTTTGCAAATAGACAGTGTTGATAGAGGACAAAGAATAGTGTAAAGTATACATGTTTTATTTGATGCACATTAAGCCTTCACCAAAGTGGTTACAATTCCATGCACTTTAGTGCTTCCAGATCCAGAATATGCCATGATCTGAATACTGTATTATGAGACAAGAGCTGCATGAATTTTAAATATTTAATAAAGTAAAACTTTATTTTTTTCTAGGCATACTCAGTCTATGATGAAGAAATTGGCTATTGTCAGGGACAGTCCTTCCTTGCTGCAGTGTTGCTGCTACATGTAAGTAAATTATAAAATGAAGGTTCTGACATGGTGAAAATGAAGCAGTTTTAAAAATTTTAGTTCTATAACTTGGGGTCAGTCAAACATTCACCAGTGCTAGATTTCTGTTCATTTTTCCTTCCCTGGGGAATCCTTTTTGCCTGGAGAGAATACATGTGCCTTATACCTTTACATATGTGTGGTTCTACTCAAGGAACAACTAAAATATGAAATTGCAGAGCTACTAACCATGGTAGGTAACAGGGGCAGATGAGGATTTTGTGGGGCACAGGACAGCACAATTTCGCGGGGCCCCCCTTTTGACACGGCGCATGCGCGGGGCTTCTTGAAGCGCAGGGCCCGGGGCAGCCGCCCTGCTCGCCCTGCCGTATATCCACCCCTGGTAGGTAACCTATTGCTTAAATCAGCTACAGTACCAGATGACTGGGGAATGCTAATGTAAATCCACTTTTTAAAAAAGGCTGCAAAGGCAATCCCAGCAATTACAGACCGGCAAGCTTAAATACAGTGCCAGGCAAATTGGTTGAAACTATAGTAAAGAACCTAGTTTTCAAACACATAGATGAACATGATATATTGGGGAAGAGTCAACACAACTTTCGTAAAGGGAAATCATACCTCATCAATCCATTGGAATTCTTTGACAGTGTCAACAAGCATGAGGACAAGGGGGATGTTGATATAGTAGCATACTTGAACTTTCACAATATTCCTCTCCAAAGCCTCTGAAGCAAGATAAACTGTCATGGGATAAGAGGAAAGATCCTCTCATGGCTCAGTGACTGGTACAAAAATAGGAAACATTGGCTAGGAATAAATGGCCAGTTTTTATAATGGAAAGCAATATATGTAAATAAATAAAATATAAATAGCAGGGATCCCCTAGGAATCTCGGACCCATACTGTTCAACATATTCATAAATGATCTGGAAAGAGGGATGAAAAATTAGGTAGCAAAGTTTGTAGATAATACTAAATTACTTAAGCTCATTAAGTCCAAAGCTGGCAATGAAGAGTTACAAAGGTTATCTGGACATGCCACAGGATCTCACTAAACCATGTGTCTTTGCCACTAAATAATTGAAATTCATTGTTGATTAATGTACAGTGATGCTTATTGCCAAACATCCCAACTAGACCTCCAATAAAAATGAGGGGGTCTAGCTAGCTGTTACTACTCAAGAAAGATCTTGGATATCTCTCTGTTAACATCTGCTCAATGTGCAGCGGCAGTGCAAAAGGTAAAAGAATATTAATTAAGAAATGGATTGACAAAAATAAAATTTCATAATACCACAATATATATCCATGGTATATCCATCCCTTGAATACTTTGTGCAGTTTAGGCCACCCCATCTCAAAAAAGATACATTAGAATTGGAAAAGGTGCAGAGAAGGAAAAATAAAAGTGATTAGGGGCATGGAACATAAAACTATGCATACTGGATCAGAGCAAAGATCCATCTAGCTCAGAATTCTGTCTTCCGACACAGTAGCCAATACCAGATGCTTCAGAGGGCATGAACAGAACAGGTAATCATCAAGTAATCCATCCCATTCCCAGGTGCTGGGAAACAGAGGCTAGAGACACCATCCCTGCCTATCCTGGCTAATCACTATTGATGGACCTATCCTCCATGAATGTATCTAATTCTTTTTCGAACCCTGTTATAGTCTTGGCCTTCACAACATCCTCTGGCAAAAATTGTACATTGTGAGAAAAAAAATGTTCTTTTGTTTGTTTTAATCCTGCTGCCTATTAATTTCATTTGGTGATTCCTAGTTCTGGCCTTATGAGAAGGAGTACATAATGCTTCCTTATTGACTTTCTCTACACCAGTCATGATTTTATAGACATCTATCCTATCCATCCTTAGTCATCTCTTTTCCAAGCTGTAAAGTCCCAGTCTTATTAATTGCTTCTCTTATGGAAGCTGTTCCATACACTTAATCATTTTTGTTGCCCTTTTCTGCACCTTTTCCAATTCTAATATATCTTTTTTGAGATGGAGCAATCATAACTGCATGCAGTGTTCAAGATGTGAGCATACCATGGATTTATATAGAGGCAATACGATATTTTGATATTCTCTGTCTTATTATCTATTTCTTTCTCAATGATTCATAACATTCTGTTTGCTTTTTTGACTGTTGCTGCATATTGAGTGGGTATTTTCAGAGATCTATCAATAATGACTCCAAGATTTTTGTCGGGTGGTAATAGCTAATATAGGCACAATCACTTTATATGTATAGTTAGGATTATGTTTTCCAATGTGCATTACTTTGCATTTATCAACATGGAATTTATCTACCAAGTAAAGTAAGATTTTTTTTTTGTAACTCTTTACAATCAACTTTGGACTTAATGATTTTGAATAATTTTGTATCCTCTGCAAATTTACAAAATGCAAAAATGCATTACTTTGCATTTATCAACATGGAATTTATCTACCAAGTAAAGTAAGATTTTTTTTTGTAGCTCTTTGCAGTCTGCTTTGGATGTGACTATCTTGAGTAGTTTTGTATCATCAGCAAATTTTACCACCTCATTGTTTCAGAGGGCATGAACAATTTTTTCTGATCTATAGGATTGGGTCCCAATACAGATCTCTTGGGGGACACCACTATTTACCTCTCTCCATTCTGAAAACTAACCATTTATTCCTCCTACCTTTTGTTTCCTGTCTTTTAACCAATTACCAATCCATTATTGAACCTTCCCTCTTTATCCCATGGATTAAGAGGTTACTTTGCTTAAGAGCACTTGGTGAGTACCTTGTTACAGGTTTTCTGAAACTCTAAATACATTATATCCACTGAATCGCCCTTGTCCACATGCTTGTTACCCTCAAAAAGTTTAGTAGATTGGTCAGACATAATTTCCTTTTACAAAAACCATGTTGATACTTTACCCAGGGCCATTCCTAAGGTGACAGTAGGCTTTGAGCAACTCACGCCTAAGAACTCTAGATGTGGGACTCAGGGCAACCACCCCACTACAAGCCCCACCCCCACATTGATTCTGCTCTGCCCCTATCTGCCTGTTGCACCCCTTGCTTGGAGCCCTCTCCCCCAAACAGTACCAGCCACAGGACAACTGGGGGACCTGCCTCAGGGCAACAGCAGTGATTGGGCCACCACACTCACCACTGAGGTAGCGACCTGGAAGCCTGCTCCTCTCTGCCCACTTCCTAGCTCACTGCACTGCACTTCATAGGCCATAGTGTATGCTCCTTTCTATTTTCTTCACTAGGATTGAACTGCCGTTTGTTAGAGGATGCTTTTTATTGTCTTACTTTTTTGGGGAGAGGGCGGGGGTGTTCTCTTACAATGTTTTTAAGACTGTCCATCTTAGAAGAGAGACAATTAAGGGGACATGTGGTGGTGGTCCAAAAAATCGTGAAGGGTGTGGTGAAAGTGAATAAGGAAGTATTATTTATCCCTTCACCCCATACAAAACTGAGATCATCCAATTAAATTAATAGGCAGTATTCAAGATATGAGCATACCATGGATTTATATAGAGGCAAAATGATATTTTTCAGTCTAAAACAAAGAAAAAGAAGTATTTCTTCAAACCATGAAGAAGTACAAGTGTTTCTGCAACATGTAGTAAAGCTGCAGAACTTTCTGTCAGGATATGATGTGAAGGCCAAACTTACGACTATGGGGTCAAAAAAGAATTAGATTCCTTTGAAGGTAGGTCCATCAGTTCTCATTAGCCAAGAAACCCTGGGATGCAACCTCATGTTCCGAGTGTCCAAAAGCCTCTGGCTAGCAGAAGCTTGGACTGGGATGACAGGGAATGGATCCTTGATCTGTTCTTTTAATTCCCTCTGAAGGTTCTGGCACCAGCCACTGTCAAAAGACAGGATACTGGTCTAGCTACGTGACCATTCACCCAGTATAGCTATTCTTATGTTCTTAAGAATCCATTATGTCAGGAATAATTAGGTTTTGTTATCATAGAAGCTATTATGTATTTTGCAGAAGTCCATTTTTATTTGATGGTAAAGGGTACCTTTTTGAATAATCTACATTGTGTGCCAAATCCTGACATTTTTAATGGATTTTCATTTCATTTTTAATGTCTTCATCAGGCCAATTCTCACTGATGGTGTTGGGAGCTTGTCTGAGGCTGGGATTCTCATCTCAGTGGAGCATAAGTACCATTGATTTTCAATAGGTCTTGTGCTCCCAAGTTGCTTGAGCAGTTTTGAATTTTATGAGCAAAAACTAAATAAAGGATTTGACCCATTCAGTGAAAGATATAGTTGGCATTCTTGACTGTTAATTTATATTGTCATCTTTCACTTCCAAGATATTACAACAGTTTAAAAATATGAGATATTTATAGGCTGCTAAACAAATTTATTGCTACATCTATGGCGTGAAGAAATGGGATATTGGAAACAGTATTTAAAAAAAAAAAGCCATGTTATGCTTTTGTTGATAATGTCACATTAATCACTATCGGAATTTATTTTAATTTAGAGTGTGGTTATTTACAAGACCCTTAAATATTTATTTCTCACACTCGCAGCCCAAAAGGAAAAAAGTTACTAAGTAAGATATCTACAAGAAAAAGATTGTTACAGGCAGCTATTACACCTAGAAAATTTAAGTCGCTGATACCCCATAAGAGTAGTGGAGAGAAATGATGGTCTGTTCATAGACACAGTTGAAACTAGAACCACATTATCACTTTCCCTCCTCCCCACATATTCCAAAATCAAACATTCCATCACTTATTTTACGTGTCATTTCTTACCCAACAGTATACTTTATTTTTTTTTAAAGTTTGGTTTGGATAAGATAAGCTATTTGTAGAGATGCAAGTGTTCAAAAAATGAATAAGCTCCAAATTCTAAATATGATTAATTTTCATTTGACTCCCCTTATCTCCAAAAGTGTGATGCTAGGTTAGCATTACTCTGGAGAATTGCCTTTGAATTAAGATTATAATACTGTATTTAAAGAAGGTGCTGAAGAAAGACGCTAATATTGTTTCTAATGAGTATAGATGGGGCCTAACTAATGTCTTCCTCAAGGAGAATAAATTACTCCCCTAAATTGTTTGTTTTTGTTTGTTTGTTTTTAATCTAACAGATCTGTTTGAATAACTTCATTTTTTTTCTGGTGTGCTGGCAGTTCAGGTTTTTTATCATTTATTTTAGATTGACTCAAAACAAATTTTTTCAAAAACTGTGATGAAATAAAAAGGAAGGGGAAATAGTTTCAGATCAAACAAAACATGTAAATTGACTTGAAACAAAATCCTTGTTTTTTATTTCAATCTTTTTAATATTCTAAAAATAAAATTAAGGAAATTTCAAATTAAAAGTATTTTTGAATTTAAGAAATTTAAACATTTAGATTTTTTTCAGAATCTCCTATAGTACTTTAGCAAAGGGAATTTTAATTTTACAGCTATGGTATTTCAAATCTCTGCATCGTCATTCGAAGTGTCTTTGTGCATTTTCCCCTGCAGATGCCAGAGGAGCAGGCCTTTTGTGTGCTGGTGAAGATCATGTATAACTACGGCTTACGAGACCTCTACAAAAATAACTTTGAAGATCTTCACTGCAAATTTTACCAGCTGGAAAAACTAATGCAGGTAGGATGAGGATCAAGAACTCTTGTCCTTTCTTACATGGTAATGTTGTGTTGGGAAGAGGAAAGCTCTTCTCCTATAGCTGTGGTTCTCAACTTGTGGTCCATGGACCACTGGAGATCCATGGTGACTTTTTCGGCGGTCCACAGGAACATTGTCCAAAGTCACACGGCGTGAGCAGGCACCGCTGTTAGGCTGTTTTATGCTGTGTTCACAAGCATGCGACTTGTCATTCATAGCATCACCTGCAGGAGGAATTCTTGGATCTGAAAAATGGTTTTGTGGCTCAAGACGTGTACCAGCAGTCTACCATAGAGAAATTTTGGGCCAGCGTGACCGGGAGTTACCCAAATCTGTCAGCGCACAGAGTCAGATTTCTTTTGCCATTTGCATCAACTTATACATGCGAGACTGGATTTTCGTGTTTGTTGCACGTTAAGTCCAAACAGAGGAATTGGCTTGCAGTGGAAAGCGATATTCTTTGTGCATTATCAAGTACTGCTCCAAACACTGAAAAGTTTGTCAGTGAGAAGAGAATCCAAAAATCTGTTAGTAAGAAATCAATTTCAAACTAAAATGTTCGTTGTCTGCTCTTTTTTATCATGTCTTAAAAAGGAGGTGGTCCATGAAAAATTTTTGATTTGCCTGCTGGTCCGTGGACTGAAACAAGTTAAGAACCACTGTCCTATAGCTTTAGAAACATACAACTCTCTCCTTTCAGAAGCATATTGAACAGAATTCTTGGATCCTAAGAGCCCTGATATGAGGGACGTATAAAATCTGAAGCCAGTTGTTGCAGATCTATCTGTCTCTATTTTCTTTTGGCTTTCTTATACTTATTCTTGTTAACTTTTTAGATTCAAATAACATATTTGTGTTTCTCTCTTCCCTTCTCTTTTTATTTTTTTAAATTAATGTGATTACAGTAGAACTTCTGAGTTCTCTCAGAGCATATTATTTTAGTATAGTACCATTGTCTGAGTTTGATTGACTTGCATTATGAGTTAAAATATTTTACAAGCTGGGACAGTTCTATGAATATCAAAAATAAACACAACACAGGACATTTTGCAGGTCATGGGTCATTTGACTGTGATTTGATACGCATCTAGTTTTTCTCACATTTTATTTTTCGCATTAAAAGCAATTTAACTCTGAATAAACGATTGCAAGTTTTATTTGATGTCACTTGACTAATTAAGTATTATTAATAGTCCACTAAAATTTGACCTGTAGTACAGTCACAATAATGGAGCTTGCTGTTGGAATCAGTTAGCCAGAGTAAAAATACAGCTGTTGTGCAAACTTCCCTTTCTGAGATTTAAAAACTAAAATACAATGGCTGGGTGCTTTTCAGATAAAGTGTTATGTGGTGCTACATAAAAAAAAAATTTGTTCTCCATATGGATTTTTCATATTTATACCAAACAGCATCAATGGACTTTATCGAGTAAGTGTATCTTTAATGACCAATGTATATAATCTAGAATTGGCATTACTACATACCTGGTGGTCGTATATATTATATTCCTGGCATGTGGAACTTGTCTTGTTATCTAATTGTTAATATTTTTTTTTTTTGCTGATCTTTCATGATCCCTGAGGAAGATATACATTTCCTGCTCCAACATCCATAATTTAATTTTTTCCCCAGACGAAAGCAATCATAATAAAAGCATTAATGTGTTTTTAATAGCTAGTTTCACACACGGTATACATGGTAAAACTACTCTACCGTTCCATAATTAATATCATATAATTTCTCTCTCTAATCCCATGACAGATTATTGGTTTGTTTTTGCTTTGAATAGCTAGCATGCTAGAATCTGTGATGGATAACACAGAGAAAAAGCCACCAAAAATGAGGGTGAAATCCTGTCCCCACTGAAGTTTGTAGCGGAACTCCCATAGGAGCTTTAATGGAGTCAAGATTTTACTTTGCTCTTTTCTCTAACCTCCAGTAATCTTGCTGGCAGTGTTTCTGAAGCTGGAGAATTGCAGGATGACATTTCCCTTTTTTTGTTTTCTTATTCTAGGAGCAGCTACCTGATTTATATAGCCATTTCTCAGTTCTGAACCTGGAAGCTCATATGTATGCATCCCAGTGGTTTCTCACCCTCTTTACTGCCAAATTCCCACTCTGCATGGTCTTCCACATCATTGATTTACTACTCTGTGAGGTAAAATGATACTGTCCTGGAATCAGAGGAAATGCTTTTTGTCTAAAAAATGTTAATAATGTTCCTTTTTTTACTGCATCTTGTGGGAAAATTTAGTCATGCGTTGCTCAGTTTCTATCCGATTAATTTCTAAATGAATGCTGAATGTGTTAAGCAGAAGACACTCACAAAGGCCCTTGCTCTTTATAAATATGGTTTTGTACTAACTGCAAGTGTTTAATTTTTTCAGGATGGATTTAATAAGTATAGGTTCAGTTAGTTAACCATTTGCTTTTTAAAATGGATGATTCATCCAGTTTAACAAATCTGTCTTCTGGCAGCCAAGAGTACTGTGGTAGATTGTTCCCCTAGATCAGAGCCTCCAAAGATAGTGTGACTATTACACATAGTTTCTGATAACCTGCTATTTCACAAAGAGTGGGAGATTACCAGAGAGTGCTAGTACATTAAACTCTTAGGTCTGACAGACAGAAAATAACCAAGCACTGCCTTACTCCAGAGAACAGCGCTGCAGTTTCTTGGGGGGACGTCTACACTATCAACTTAACTTGACCTGTATTAGGTCAGTTTACAGCCACCACAGTTATTACAGCAGTGGTTCATGTTCACACTGCCCTTCTGCTGTGGATGGTATGCATCTTCTCCAGGAGCGCTTCCACCGACTTAAGAAGGGGGCAGTGTGGGGGGCTGAGAGCTAGGGCTCTCAGCACTGTGTGCACCTCCCCACTGATAGCCCACTCCCTGCCGGGAGCCTGGCAGCCCCTTCCCCACTGGGGCTGGGGCAGCCATACCTGGCTTCTTGGCTCCCTGCTGACAGCTGGGTTGATCCCCCTCTTTCCCCCTTGGCTCCCTGCTGGGAATAGGGCAGCCGCACCCGAATTGCTTGGCTCTCCGCCAGGAACAAGCCAGCTGTACCCGGCTTCTCGGTTCCCCACTGGGAACGTGCCAGCTTCACCAGGCTTCTCAGCTCCTTGCTCCCCACTGGGGGTACAGGTGCCAACCAGATTCCAGGCGCTGAGCTGCCAGCCAGCTGCAGCCATGCTTCCAGTGAGGAGAGTGAGCAGAGAGCCTGTGGGGGGGGCGGGCTCTGGAGTGGGGCCAGGGATGAGGGATTTGCAGTGCAGGAGGAGGCTCCAGGCTGGGATGGAACTGAGGGGTTCAGAGTAGGGGAAGGCGCTTCAAGCTGCAACATGGTTTTGGGGTGTGGGAAAGGGTGTGGGCTCTGGGCTGAGATATGGGGTTGCGGTGCGGGGGGTCGGTGAGGGCTCCAGCTTGGAGTGTAGGCTCTGGGGTGGGACTGGAGATGAGGAGTTTGGGTGCAAGAGGATGCTCCCTCTCCCCAGCTCTCAGCCAATGGGAGCTGCAGAGCCAGCACCAGGCGCAGGGTATACAGCCCCTGGCTGTCCCTACATATAGGAGCTGCAGTAGGGACATACTTCTGCTTCTGGGATACGCACAGAACCACTGCAGGTAGGGAGCCAGACCCCTCCCCAGTAATCCCCAAGCCTGCATCCCTTGGAGGAAGGGGCGCAATGGTGGGTGTGGGGGAGAACAGGCAGTGGCAGGAAGGTGAGGGGCTTGGGGGATGGGCATGGAGACACACAGCCTGGGCCGCTGGGACTCTTGGGATGGTTTGCAAAAATGCTTGGGCCATAGATGGCCCGCAGGCTGTGAGTTTGAGACCCCTACTTTAAAGCTAAAACTGCTTAATTTATGATAGCTAAACAAATAACTCTGACTTCCAGAAAAAATGCAGCCTAAAAGTACTTGGGATCCAGATAATTTTAGAGAAGATAATGGTCAACAATGGTATTAGGTTTGTTCTATAGTTAAAGCAAAAGTGTGTCTGGTCCTCAACGGAGAAGGAAAACAAAATCTAAGGGCAGATGGAGCTTGAGAGAAAAGAGAACTAGGACTGCGGTCATATTGTAAAGCTATGTCTATGTCTCCAACCAGCTTCCAAGAAGAGCTATGCAGCACAGCATTGTCTGCATTGAATAGCTCTTTCTTTTATTTCTTAAAATACAGCAAATCTGTAATTCCAGCACCTGGAAGGATAAAAAAGGTACAACCGTTAACAGTGGAAAATGTCCATCTAAAAAAAAAACCCTTTGAAGTGAGCTTTTTTGTTGGTTTTTTGTATGGGTTTGCAGCCTTTTCATTAACTTGTCTTTGTCATAAATACAAATGAATTTTGAATGACTTTTTACTTCCTTCCTGGCTGAGCTTTCTCTCTGTCTCTATCCTGCCTGTAATTGACAAAATATTTACATCCTAAGTAACTTTTTCAAACAGGAAAAGATGTCTGAAGGAAGAAAAATGGGTAACAAAGTGCTGAATACATGGCCCAGACTAGTCATTCACAATGAGACTCTGGTCCCTGTTAAAATTATGCCAATTATGGTATGGATTAACAGACAGGGATCATTTCAGATGGGGTTTGTCATATTTAATTTATCTGTGATTGGAGGGGGAAGAACATTGATAATTGAAAGGGGTTTTTTAAATGCTCATTCCAGAAAGAAAAAGCATTTATTGGTGACAGCAGCATCTCATAATGAGCAAGTATGCTTCATGCCACTGAAAGTCTCATGGAAGAAGTCATTAATGAACCCTAACATGTGGAGAATATAAGAATTTGGGAAGATGGAGGATAGGAAAGAGGAGAATGGCAAACCAATGATATAGTGATAGATAATGATCAGGATTTTTTTAGCTTTATATTAGAGTTTGTGCCTATATAGAAAAGATCTTTTCATCATTCTCTTACATGTAGCTTGATGGAGATAATTACAGGCAGTCCCCGGGTTACGTACAAGATAGGGACTGTAGGTTTGTTCTTAAATTGAATTTGTATGTAAGTCGGAACTGGTACATATTGTAGGGGAAACTCTAGCCAAACATTTCTCCAGAGCTCAGTTTTATTCTCCCACACCTCACTTCCCTCAGTCCTTTATTCTCAAGCTGAGGTGTCTGCTGAGAAAAGCCGCTCCGTGTCTCCCTGGGCTGCTGGGGGGGGCGCTAGCTTCGCGTCTCTCTGGTCTGCTGGGGGGAAGCTAGTGCGGGGTTGCCTCACCCCGTTTGTAAGTAGGGATCCGATGTAAGTCGGATCCATGTAACCCAGGGACTGCCTGTACTTCCTTGTTAGAACTCATAACAGCCTGGAACTTGCCATGCAAGATCACAGCAAATGTTGGGAGAATCTCAAATGGCTAGGTTTGAATATGTGCTCAAACGCTTAGGTGTATATCCAAACCACTGCCTTTTTTGATCATTCCCACCCTATCATCCTCCTTGTAATCTTCACTCATCAACCCTCCTATCTATCTCCCAACTGTTGAGGATGTGATGTAGCCCTAGGAGCTCCAAATTTCCAATGTCCCTGCACTAATGCCTCCTATCAATTTCTTATTATTTGCCAGTTTGGTGTTTCTCATCTGCCCCTATCTGGAATGGGATGGGTTTTACAGCTGGGGGACTTGAGCAGATACTATTGCTACTGAGAGAAAATTAGGGGTAGGGGTATGCTTGTCACTGTTCTTGTTGGTGTTTGTTTATTTATTTAGATTTTAATAAGCCATACAAAATGCGGTAGGTACTCTGAATAATTAATCTTACACCAACATAATAGCGACTACATAGCATCATTAAAAAATCAAATATAGGTTGCAAAGGTAGCCTGTCATTGAACAATCAAAAACTGTAACAATTTATCAGGAAAATGTCATCATACAAGACCAATAATCATACTCGGGAACAAAGGTACATATACATAGCCTAGACCTTTCTGCAAAGTCTGTGAAGTAAATGGCTTTTGCAGTTTAATCAGAACATCATCAAATTGGAGCTTTCTGGAGCAAGGTCTGCAGGATATTGATGGTTGGAAGGTGAGCAGATTAAATTAAACCTAGATTTAAGGAATGTGGAGTTCTCCTACATAGAACAGAATGTTAGGAGAATTAAAGGTTTCACCCATCTAATAGATTTGTATATAACATTCTAAAATCTATTTCGATTCAGTTATATTACACCAGCCCCAAATGAGAAGTGATTTCCTTTCAATGCAAATCTCATAAAAGTAGGCAAGATACTGTTACCCTCCTTTGCTGTCGACATTCCGTCAATCTTATTTTATCTCCAGTAACCGATTCTTCACTGTGCTCCATTGCTTGTCTTCTTTAAAGACTTACCCAAATTGGCTTGCCCCCATACTTTCTCCCTCATAATTTGCATTTTTAAGGCAAGCTTTCCATCCCTCTTGGATTATTGTGGAGATCTCTGGAGAACTCCTTTAAAAAAAATTATATCTGCTCTGTAGGTCTTTCTTATTGTGATGTACATAAATTGATTTAGAAATGCTAGAAATCATATTTAATAGACCAAGGATCTTATCTTATCTTACTCTTTTTATTTCTATTTGACAAATTACTTTCTTGCAAAGTATCTTGTGCCACACACTCAGTACTTTCACAACCCTGAAATCTTGGTCCATGTATGTATATATGCTTAATGTATATTTACATAATTGTATTGGATTCCAATGGATTGACATTTTGTTTATATAAGTCTAATTACGTATTTATTAGAGTGCAAAAAAAAATCCTGACAAGTAAATTATATGCAGTTATAACCTTTCATGAAATTTTCTGTTAAAGGAAAAGAGGATGAGTCGTGATACATGCTGTATTGTCAAAAGCCAGGAAGTTCAAAGCTAAAACTGTCACTCTACTATTAACTTTGAATTTCCTGACACTTGTTGGTTTCTGTCACAATTGTAATGATAACATGAAATTTTTTGTTTAGTTTTTGATTACAGAAGGTCATTTCTGTGCAAAACATTGAGGATGCTGAACTGCATAAGGATTACATTTCTCTCCTTTTAAAGGGTATATATTACATGTTGGTACAAATCTTGTGGGGCTTGGTGTGTGTTTTGTAGTTTAAGTCATACCACAAAGGGTCAGTTGTCGCAAACATGAATGGATGAATGAGCTGCCCTT